TATATATATATATATATATATAATTTTAATAACGACAACGATTAATAAATATTGAAAACATTTAGATATTAACACAAATTTTCTTGTATTACACTTGTATTCCCCCCGAAAACAGTGAAAAATCATAAAAACGTAGGGGTATGAACTCACCTTTTGTGTGATAACGGTTTTGCTAACGGGTAGAAAACGGTGACTTCGGGCTAGGACACGGGAAGGATATCGTATCCTAATGATTTGAATCACATAATAAAGTGTGATTAAAATGACACAAGTAATATATGTGTTTGTATAGCATAAGTTTTATAAATAAAACTTACCAAAACTTGTAAGGATAATGGAAGCGAAAATGTTTCTTGAAGTTGATTTTGTTCTTGGAAATGAAAGGAAACTTGAGAGGGAATGAGGATAATTTTGATTATGGAGGTGAAAAAGTGTGATATATGATCGAAATGTGACTTACATATGAAGAAAATATAGGCGATTAATAGCAAAATATCTAGATATTTAAGGGATTTCGGCCATGAACACAATCCGAGAAAAAGGAGTCTTCGTCTGAATCACCCTGATTTCGGTCAGGGTCTTCGGTGTGGAACTCTACCCGAGAAAGAGGGATTTCGGTCCAAGCTGTTTGCGGTCCGAAGTGATTGCGGTCAGAGGAGTTTTCGGTCCGAGACAAGTGGCTAATGCGAGTGTTTTCGGTGGGGCATGATTTCGGTCTTAACCGAAATCTGTTTTCGGTGCGAGGAGGGGTAAGACTTGCGAGGGTTCTTGGATTTTATGTTTTAAATTTTCAATTTTTGCAACACTTTAATAAAAATGAATTTCTATAAATTAAATTATTAATTTAGCCTTAATAAATTGCAATTCAAAAAATTTAACTTTTATTTAGCAATTTTGACTTTTATTGACTTTTACAGATTTGAAAATAACGGGTTGTTACATAAGTTCCTAAGACATTAATAAACATCAATTACTTATAAACTTTCTGGTTAGTCTTTGAGTTCGAGATTGACCCTGGCTTTGGCTCCTTTCATTTGCAGTACGCCTTCTTTTAGTCTTTGGTCTACCAGGTTGAGTGTGATGTGGTGGTGGTGTTAATTTAAAGGGGCATGCATTTTTTGGCCACATAGCCCTGCCCTTTATGGGGCCCACCTTGTTAGAATAAGCTTCCTTCCAAGTGTCAAGAAAGTATACTTTGTTGACATAAGTGTAAAGCTCTCCAACTCTCTCCCCATTATCATTTAGTTCATTTATTGTAGCTATTGCATATTTACAGGGAATACCAGTTAACTCCGACCTTCTACAAGAACATTCCATCTCCTTCATGTCAAACACATGCTGTTCATGCCATGGTCCATAAACCTCAAACTTTGAAGTCCCAGTCCACCTTGCCCTATACTTAGATGAAGCTTTATCGTTTCTTCCCCAAAGAAAGGATCAAAGTC